TCGCTTGCAATTTTACCTGGCACCAGTTACTATGAAAGTGATGCTTAATATTATCCTTGATAATTACTGCTGAACCGCCGTGGCCTTTGCCAGATGGATGCTTGGTATCGTAAACTGTATAGTAAGGAATCTTTATAAAGTACTTATCTGTTAAGTGTGTTTCTGAGATGAGAATGACGTCTATTTCGTTGATTTGTAAAAATACTTTTAATTCCTGAGTTCTTCGGTGAAGTCCATTGGCGTTCCAGATTGCTATCCTTAACTCTTTAGCCATTTTTATTATTCATCATAGCTAACATGTTTGTTAATAGTTGTATCAGTGTGTTAATTTGTTGTGATTGTTGCTGTAATTGCTTAGTTTGCTCAACAAGCATATTTGTTATAAGTTCCGTATTTTTAGCTGATTGTATGATTAGTTGTTTTATTTCTGATATTTCATTGTGTTGATCGTTATTTTGGTTTAAAGAGRGTGATTTAGCTTGCGGCGATAATGCTTCGGCATAACTTTTGTTAGGTGTAATATATTGTTTGTTTGTGTTGTTATTGTTAAGGTTAGAACWGAGATTTTGCGAGGTAGTTTCTGTCGGATAGTTTTTTTGTCTAAGAGGAGGATATAATTTCTGTTGCAGTTGTTTTCTTACAATGCATCCTTTATAGCTAGCGGGATGGTTGCCTTGGCAGTTGGAGCACCTTGCATTTTCTATTTTACCTTATACTGGGCATTTGTTGGTTAGATGTTTACCAGCACATTTAACACAAGCAGGAATCCTAAAGCAATAGTTTCGCGTATGACCATAGGCTTGACATCGCAAACACTGGGAAATGTCTCGTTTCTTTCTGGGTGGTTCGAAGGAAATAACCGTATTTAGTAGTCTTACTATTTTGTATATCTCTTTGTTATTAATATTGGGTTCTAGCTCGATAAAGAACAATGGTAACTGCTGWTTAGTGTCGTATTTGACAATGTTATTGATCCTTCTTACCTTATGGTTATGCACCTTGAGTTCTTCAATTATTCTATCAGTTTTCACTGTAGGATGAATCCCTCTTAACACTACATTGTAGCTTCTATCCTTTTTTACTTGATACGTGTGAAAATTAGTATTTTTATTCTTTAAAGCTATTACAATTTTTCTATAAATTTCTGTTGTATCGGCTTGCAGTCTAATTTGATCGTTTTGGAGTTGTTTGAGCGTGTAATTATCGCCTACAGTTACTTTTAGGAATTCAATCAGTGGTTCTATCACCTGGGCTTCGATAAATATTGGAGGTGGTTTTGGTGGAGAGGTACTTTTTTTGCTAGCAGGTTCTAAAGGTTCTTCAGCCTCTACGATTAACGGACTGAATGAGTTTGAGATCGGTATTTTTTTCGAGAGCCAATTACATTGCACCTCTGTGTCGTAGTCCATGCTGAATATGCTGTTTAATTGTACAGGTCCTTCGATTTTACGTTTCCTGTTGCTTGTTGTGGGAACATTTGCCACGGTCGTTTCGTGCTCTGTTTCCATTTCAAGATCGCTGTTGTTATTGTTTTTTGAATCGACGTTGTTTATTCGGAATTTAGTACCGGTCTTGRTAATTTTTAATTTTAGATCTTTTTGTTTTGATATTTCCGCCATTTTAACTGATTGGACTAGCCATATGGCAGTCCAGTCAGTTAAAAGATATTGACGGTTAAACTTTTATACTCGCTTGTATATATATATGTATATAAGTATACGTATAAATATATCCGTAGGTATTATATRTATACATGTATGTACACACAAGCTTCCCAAACACTTTCACTACTACTACGCAGTTGTTTACAAACACGACCGATCGGATCGAGTGTCTAAACACGACTGAGATAGAATTTTGAAAATATTAGTTTTTGTCAGCTACCTACACCCCAAGGTCGGTTCCTTTTCATGAGAAAAGAATTATAAAAAACAGGGAAGGTCTGTTGAAATTCGATCTACATTTATTATCTTTATTATCAATGCGATAATATTCATGCCTATAGTTTTTTTTTTACAACGTGTCATATCTTTTCTATTTAAACATGTTTCTATTTTATTGAAAAATTAGTATTCAATTCTTTATTTCGCAAATATTATAATAAATAATTATGAAGTACATAGAATATATAATAATTGTATTGTCTGAAATATTTAAAAAAAAAAGTATTACCAGATACATCAGAGAAAAAGAATTAGAGAATACTGTGGAATGCAGCTGACAAATTCCGTTAAAAAGCAAGTAAATTACTGTTATATTATGATTTTGCTTCTTCATAAAATATATTTGATAAATAAAGACAAAATATATGTATTAAATTTGATTTTTATATGTTTTTATGAAAAATATCCAAAAAGATGTACTGACCCATGCATATATGAAAATTATATTATTAATTGTGATATTTGCGTATTTAAGAGACTTATACTAATTTTTCAATAAAATAAAAACATTTTTAAGATGTTGAACGCTCAGCGTGAATCGGTAGTGCTTACCACGGAGCTGAAATTTGAAAATCGTAGTGTACACAGTTCGATAAGCTCAGAGAGCGATACGATTCAATGCATTTTTTAGATTTTTCGTTGTTCAGATCTTTATTTAGACGAGAGTATCTAGATAGATAAGTTTGTGGTTCAAAGAATAAAGACGAGATATTTTATAAATAATAAGGGTCTCTAAGTGTGGTAGGCTACAGAGTTGAAAAATCATTTCCAGAGAATATCTTTACTAGATCTTTCATTGCATTTTACCAGAACCTTCGTTCAGTCTAGCAGTATTTTCCATATGTTTTTCGTAACGTCTTTATTTCATCTATCCTAAAATGTTTGTTATATAGCGCAAGAATGTAGATGAAAACGGGAAATAGAAAACCATACTAACAAAAAAAATTTTATACCTGAGTTTCAAAAAAAGGATTATTTATATTTACTTAATTTCTGACGAATTATATTTCCTTTGATAAACATCCTACCATTTTGATGATTATTTATAACTATCGCATTCAGCATTCCGTTTTTATTGCTTGAATTGTGAAAAGTGCACTTTTTATCAGCTAATTCACCCAGAGAGCATACCGGTGACCTTTATTATATATATAGTAATAATATTATAATAAATAAATCCTACAATTATCTTACTCTTCAAACTGTCCATTCGTCTCATTATCTCGAAACTTAGATTTTTGAAGGTTTCACTTCTAACACGTGAGATCTGCACACATGATTTTTTTTTTACTATAAAAATAATAAAAACCGGTGCTTTTAAACTTGTAGAAATTCGTCATCTTCTCTACCGATAAATGTAACTTATTATTATTCTTTGTTACTATCATTAATATTATTATTAAATATATTCAAGAGACTACTCTTTTTTTGTAATTTAGATTAAAAAATTGAATTTATAACGCAAATGCTCGTACGTACTCATATAAATATATACATCTTCATTTATTAAAGTTTATGGAAAAAAATAAAAAGAAAAAGAAAGTTAAGTTTAATTAACAGTTTTTGTACATTGAAAATGTTTTTTTCTTGTGTATTATTTATTATATAATATTATATTCATAAACGCCAATATTTTAATGGATACAAAAGAATCTTTTATGTTAGTTAATAAATTAATTTTGTTCATATCGATTATATTATTAATTTAATTTTTTCCTCTTTTCTTTTTTCTCTTATATTTCTTCTTTTATATTATATCTCGACGTATTAATCCTTTGCTCCCGAGAGGTGAATTTCGGTTAATAAATGTCAAAATAATTGATATCTTTTTCCCCCAAATTTAATATAAGTTTTTGTTAGAATTGTAAATAGACGATATAAAAAAATGAATGCATTTTTCTTTCTGATATTACAAAAAAATTAGGAATCAAATAGACACGAGATCTACGTCGCATAAAATTAATACTATTTAATAATGTTTAGAAAATAGAAAAAATCCCATTCTGTTTAATTAGATATTTATTTACTTCGAACACATCAAACTAAATAATTATAACGGTTTATAAGAAGAATATCATATCTAAATAAAGATTACATTGTATCATTAGTAATATCCGTTTTAAATGAAAAATCAAAGCAATCTCTAGCAGGTGGTGATAAAGGCAACCTGATAGGAGTTGCGGCTATGTTATTCCACAAACCAGGTAACCGAGATCCATCAGATCCATTGCATTGCATTCCTTTAAAAGCAATACAAAATGATTAATTGATTAGCATACTTACTAATTTAGAATTGGTTAAATATTATGAATACACAGTAGAGCCTGTTTTTGTGCGGAAGATAGGGGACCGAATAAAAAAAATCGTACAAAAAAATATTCAGAAATTTTATAAATACTTACATATAATAAACAACTTTGTACGATATATTAAATAAATTTTTTTTTACGCTTCGGAGAGGGGCCGCATAAAAAAAGTCACACTTAGAAAATACATCAATTATTTACAAAATAAAGCAGAAAATGCTTTCCAACAAATTAAATAAGTAAATTAGACCTGGAAATATTTTTTAAACACTTAATTTTTCATTGTATACATGCAGAAATTTTCAAAATATACATTAAATAATTCACTGCTACTCGTAATCCAAAACGCGCATTTTCTTGTGACGAATTAGTTTCATATCACTTTCGTCGCTTGAAGATACGATTTCAATTGATTTTGGCACCAGAAAGTCAGTGATCAATTTCTGTGACGTCAGTCGATTGGTCAGTTGCTTGTACACGTTACGATAGCAAGAAATGCATGATCTTAGCTTTTTTTGGAATTTCAAGCTTTTTTAAGAATTAGTATCTATTTTAAGAAAATGCATTTCCAATTTTTTAGAAATCCGGATCCCTGCATATATTTTATCGGCTGTAATAGATTCCGGTTTTTCTTGTCCGACTTCATAATCTATTAAATTATTGACAATGTTACTATCATTGGCAGTTTCGTCTTCAATCATTTCGTCAAGATCATTTTCGCTGAAAGTATCAAAGCCCTCTCCGCTGATGTTATGTGCGAGTGCAGTAATTTCAGATAATAACGTGGACGCGTTTTCGGTTACATTTCGATTAATTACACATTCAGGCCAGATCGTTTTCCAGCACGAATTTAATGTGTGTTGTTTTATTTGACCAATTGCTGCAGTAATATAGTTTATGCAGTTTAAAATTGAGAATTTTTTCCAAACTTCAGTCAGGCCTAATTCATCGTTCTCTAGTTTTTTCAGAATTTAGCTAAAAGTTAATTTGAAATAATGTTTCTTAAAACTTGCGATTATGCCTTGATCCAGTGATTGTATAAAGTTCCATTATCGTCAAGGATTCCACGTAGTCAAGGTTTGTCCATACATGTATATGTACACTGATAGGAAACATTAAACTGGTGCCAATGCCGCTGAAATTCATATACCGCATAAAAAAAATCGCATAGAAAAGGACCGCACAAAAACAGGCTCTACTGGATTATATATATAATGAAAACAAAATATATCATGTGCGCAGATCACACGTGTTAGAAATAAAATGACATCGATTATTATTTAAAATTTGATTTTTTTTAAATTCGTCAACTCATGAGTCTACGAAAAGTTCAGTCAATGATTGAATGTATGAAAAATTTATTTTCAATTTTTGAAAATCAATGAGCTATGAAGAATTTAGTCAATGATCGAGGATGTGCCGCCATCTAGCGGTACTAGCTATTATCAATGAGCATTGACTGAACTTTTCGTAGACTCATGCATTGACTAAATTCTTCATAGTTCATTGATACTCGAAAATTAAAAAACTTTTTTTCGTACATTCATGCATTGACTGAACTTTTCATAGACTCGTGCATTTATTAAATATTTGTTATTACACTCGTGCATTAATTGAATTTTTCGTAAACTTGTAAATTGAAATAAGAAACAAATGCATACTGTCTTCTATCACATTCTCTCAAAAAAAAACATACCTAAAGGAGCGACCTGATAAATATCATGAAGTGCTTCAACACGAACTTTAATCCATTCGATACTCTTGTAATTATCAGATATTCCTTTCTCATTACTCGTTTTTTGATTTTCCCATTCTCTCATATAACGAAAATAAGTTCTCAGTGCATCATCGCTAATGGCGCTTTTGCATACCTAATTAAAATGATATTAATCATAAATTATTTTTCTAAGCTGTTAGGTTTGATCGTATGCATACGTTCTTATCAAACAAATTGTAAAATAGAATGAATTTACCTCTAAACGTGTATTAGGATAATAGTGTATGTAATTAACACACATCTCATCGGATATAGCAAAACCACCAAGAGTAATATTTTCTCTTTGCATAGTATTGTAAGTACAGGTCGTTATCAAGGAATCTCCCTATTAACATTATAACAAATATCGATAAATATATCGTTCAAATAAAAAGTAACTTAATATTACTTACTGGTAAAACTGTAACAGGTTTAGGAAGTAATCTGATTTCTTGGAAATGTGTTGAATAATGATTATCATAATTCAAACGAGGTAATTCAATTCCATCTCTAAAATGACGAGTGGTTACTCGGGTGCCAGTTAAATGGGTATGTAATTGAGAACCAAATACATGTATTCCATTTTGAGGTAGACCAACTCCGGTGCATTCAGATATACAATGACCAGATAAAAGAAAAGATTCCTATAATAATTAATATCCCAAAAATGAATTGAGTTATTAGAAATTGTTCATTTGTTAAATAGGCAATGAAATATTTGTTACCTGTCGTGGTGGAATAGCCATTTTGTCGGTATATTCTAATCCCAATTCGATCACACCAGCGTCATACTTTCTCAAATTTTTTGTAAAAATGAAACGAATTCCTGAGGAATCTATATTACCAGCTTGGAGTTCAGGATTGTTGTAATGAACTTCTAACATGACGTGTGGATTAAAATTGTCACCACCAATTGGCAAACCAGCTTCTTCTGGATATACAAATGCATCTGCTCCCATAGCCCAAGCTGCCAAAACTTTTTTACATATCTGATTTCGAAATATATTAGTCGATAAATTTGATCGTTTATTTAAAATTGAGTTATCATTAGAATGTTTTTATTACCTGAGTTTTTTGTGGTCGATCAACACTATCACAGGGTCCTTCGTACATTGGAACTTCTGTATCATCTGGACCGGAGCAATGAAATACTTCAATATGATGAACTAAATGTTTATTCTTTTGTTGAATCAGTGGACCAAATTGTAAAATATGGTGTCTGTTGGATAAAGAATTTTTTATTAATATAATTATATTTATTATAGCGAATCCAGCTCGCTAACGAATCCAACATTCGCGAGGTGGATCAATAAATTTGAATTAAAAAGAATTTACTTTAATTTTAAAGGAGGAGGTAATTTGAATACTCGACACCAGTAGGTAGTTTCCTTATTAGGTATTTGAACATTTTTCACAGTAACGTCGAATTGCCATGCATCAAGAGGAAATTTTGGTTTTTTGTGAGTAACACGTAATAATTCTGTCCTAGCCATGCCAGAAAATTGACCATCTGTTATTTTTAAACCTGCCAATGAAGTTAAAGGACCTCGACCTTTTATCCACACAATGTGCGTGGTACCTCTCTAAGAAAAATATATTTTTTTTTAATAATTTCTGAATAAGTTAAACACAAGGATGAACAATTTACCTCGAATATATAATCATGCTCGTCGCAAGTATCGAATTTTCTCGTAAATGTAAACTTCATCGTATTATTTCTTCTTTTCCAAGCAAAATTATCGCAATTTTGTTTTTCATCGAGAATCAATCTACCCTCATCGTCCGACCATGCGTCCTGATTTATTAATAATTTATATATAATAATAATGATTATAGTTATTATCGTTTCAATTATAAAAATAATTTTAATGTTAGCTGTGTCATGGAAAAATTGTAATATTTTGTATTATATTCATCGTATCATTTTTGCGACAAAATTCGTTGAAAAAAAAATCTTTTCTTTTTATATATCTACCTGTAATTGAGTTTGTTGATGCCAATCGGTCCACAAAATACAATAATCTGCAGGTTTAAATTCCCCATAATCCGAAAAACCAACAGCGAACCATGTATTTTGATCACCGGCGTAATGAATTTCAACTTTTACCAATCTGCTCGTTAAATCGATTCTACAAATAATTAAAAAACAATTGTTTCACGTAAAAATAATTATTTTATAAGACATCAATACTACAAGAAGAAACTCATTGAAATATTTTTCCCAAAGATATAAACTCGAAAAAGGTGCCATAGCAAATTATTTAACAAAGATACCTCCAATGAAATGTAGCTTCCGATCCCAAAGGAATCGTGTGCACGTCATTTAAATTATTTTCAACAGATAAATTAAATGCAACGATATTTAAAATTTTTAATAGGAATAACACCGACAAACTTGCCAATAACATAGTCGAATTTATTATTTTATTCAACTGATTGATTATTAATTATATTCTTTATTAATAAGAGAGAATTTAACGTTATTTTAATTATACTTTGGTATAGTATTTGCAAGCAGTTTCGTTTTTCGTGGATGAACAGCTACTGACGATTTCATCGCTTCCACTTTTCTTATGTTAAATTTTTCGCGCGTGTTTGAAATGGTGCGCACGCTCCGGATCGTCACGCAGTCTGTCGGCCGATACGCGAACTGAGAAGGGTCAAAATCATGACGTCATCAATACTTTTTACATTTTCCCGCTTAATACGAATTTTACACATACGATATTGCAACGATGTTAAATTATATTATTTTAAATATTTTCTATCGCATTTAAGTTATTTAATAATTATTAGTATGATTAAAATTGTTGATAGAATTTATTTATCGCGTTCTTGATTGCCCTTAAATAGAATTACGTAAAATACATTTCTACGTAGTTAGATTAAACAAGATATCGATTAATTAGCATTAAATGTTTAATTACCAAATAAAATCTGCTTAGTTATAATGATCGAGCAAATATTCAGTTTTTCTTTTAAACGTTATAAATTATGTTTTATTTCTTCTTCTTTTTTCCCCTTTTTATATTCGTAAGCGCTGAATAAACGCGAAAGAACGAATTTGATCTAAATAATTAGAATTCTATTTCTTTTTTGCTTTTCATTGTCAAGGTTACTGTATCGATTAGAAGCGTTATACTTTCTGATTTATGAATCAGGAAAAATATCATTTGCAACTGATAGACGATTACAATATTCATGAATTAATATCTTAATATTTATGGCTTTCATTGCACGAATTAATGAGCAGTTTATCATTGTCAATGATTAATTCCAGTCTCATGATTTTTGTATTGAAAAAATCAATTATTCTAATTGCGCAAACGATCGATTACATTTGATCAGTATATAGAATTTATAAATGGAAAAAGAAAGAAGAAAAAAGATCATTCATATACACACCTACACGCATACATAAAGAGATGCATAACTTTATTAGACGAATAGGAAAAATGTTGAGAGAGAGAGAGAGAAGAGAGAGTTTAACGTTAAAAATTTCTTAATAATAGAATACCAGAGAAGGGAGAACCATATTGCATTCCCTTGCCATTTGAGTAAGACATACCGTTTGGTAGAACGTAATAAAGAAATTCCATAGAAATTATTCCACGCATAGATGGAGAGAAAAGTCTCTTCGACCAACCTTTATTGTACTCAATATTATTAATGCGGTAAAACTACTACGTGATGGTATTAAAACCAAAATTATTATTAACAATTCTAAATTACAAAAATTCTCTATAAAATCATATAACTATCCTAAAATCAACGGTGAATTTTGTTGATGTAAAAAGCTTGTTAGATGATGTGAAATCTTCTTGACCGATAAAAAAAAGATATACCATAAATAAGAGTGGGAAACCATTGAAGTTAACGAGCATACGAAGGGTCAACTAGTCACTAACGAACAATACTTCACATAATTCTATCTTCTAAAATCTTTTATTAATCTTATGGAAGTTTTTTTGTTGTCAAACGTTTGGCCTTTTTTCTTTAATTCGTAATTCTATAAATCTATCGACCTAAAACTCGGTCGTGTAAAATTTTTAAAAAAGAAAATGAAAATAGTACCAAGATAGGATTTGAATATAAAAAGACCTTTTACCCATTCAAATCATAATCTGGTATTCATTCTTTTCATAGAAATTCGTCGGGCTTTTTTTTCACCTGGCCAATCCGGTTATTTTCTCCCTTACGTTTTATATTTATAAGTAGAATATATTAAACCGTAACGCAGAACATTTATCCTTGAATTTATTTTGTATAAATAATCTTTTATTTTCTCGTCGAGTGTTTAATGACAAAATTTAATACGAAATTGTTTTAGAAAATAAAACAAATATTGTACAAATTAATAGGAAATTAGTGTCACGAACTGGATATGTGCATCCAGTTCACACGATGAACTTTTTGAAAACATATATTATAAATAATATAAGAATTATATAAGAATAATGACAGATCTTTAAGTACGCGTACAAGTTATATACGATTTATAATGCAACGAATTAATTATTGCTTAAATATTTTCTATCTTATTTATATCACGGAGAAGACTCATTCGTTGGTCAATCGTGTCTGTGAGAAAGACAAGATATTTCACGTTCTAGCTTTTAACGATCCTCGATTGAATATAATTGACAGTTTTAATCTCTTTAATAAACAAGCTAGATCGTCTAAGGGCGCCGTCATAATAATCACCCAACTTACAAGAGAGAACTATCATTTATAAATATAAAACAGACTTTTCCCCTGGCCCATCACCCCACAAGTTTTCCTTTAAAATAAAAACGAATAAATAAACGGAAAAACATCTTAAAATAAATGTCGGAAGAGGGGGAGGAATACTTTATAATAAATCGTATATTTCATGGGAGTAATTCTCATTATAATAAGATAAACCGATGAAAGAAATAATCCATGGGTTGAGAGAAGGAAAAAAGAAAAATATGTAAAAAAAAAAAGAAAACTAAAAATCAGTAGTCGTCATCATCATCATCATCATCATCATGAAGAACGGACGCGACTTGGCGTGTGTGTCTGGTGATCGTTAGATGTCCGACGACCGTGATGTTGCCGAGCGATTTAGTTCTGTGGTGGGGTAGAAGAATTACTTGGGAGTAGTGCTGAGAACTGAGAACTGAATGGGGGTAAGAAGACGTCGGGGGAACCTTGTGGAGTAGGGATTTAAGCGGAAGTGATGGGGGTAATCAAGAGGCACGTTGCCCTTGGACGCGCAGTGCCAGTCGGGAACGCAAAGTCTTCGCAATAGGACTTCAGTGTCGGAGCAACTGGTCCATCGTGTCTCATAAAGACCGGGATAATATACAAAGCACGTGGTGAGGAATGTAATCTCCGATGAGAATCACCGAATCTCTAACCGTGTACGCAGCGTCAAACATCTCAACAAGTATATTAACGTTAACGGTACGTATAAATCGGATATTTTTATTTTTTATAGAAAATCCAAACTTTAAACAAAACGAAAACAAATAATATATAATCCTACAAATAATATACTCCTGTATAAATCTTTTTTTTTCTTTTTTTTTTTTTTAATATAGACAGAATTTTACGTTACCGACCGAACGGATCCGTGTGGGACACCGCGTCTTTTTTCAGACGCCTTACAATTTTATTTTTTTTCTTTCCTTCTTTCGCTTTTTTATGTACGATTATTTTATACAATTCTCTTCGTTTCTTTTTATTTATCTTATTTTTTTCTTTTCTTGCTTTTAATTGAATTAAAAACGTGACTTATAGTCTTGTGATCTATCGTGAACGAAACGTCATTTGATTAAACGCGAATTTAAATGTTTTCTTTTCTTTTTGTTTTTTAAATACATTGATTAAGATTTAATTTGAATTTCGCATGAAATACTTTAACGTATAATTCATAATAAATTTAGGAATGATATTGCGTGAATATTTGTATAGATCGAATGATCCAAGCGGGTTAATCTAGATCATTGATACGATTGATCAATATTACGTATTCCAAGCATGAAATATTTTTTACAGATTATCTAATCGTTGTTTCTTTTTATTCGACTAATTTACTTACAGTTATTTGTGATATTTAGTTTAAATAATATACTGTATATTTACATTTTATAATATAAAATATTTCGTTAAAATTAAGAATAAAAATAAAAAGTAATAAAAATGTTTTCAGACAGTGTAAAGCAAAGAAAACGATAAAATTGATGAACAGCATAAACGCAAAGCATTTTGTTTACAGCAAGCGATAAGTTAGTTGACACAACGGCATCTGCTTCTACAAAGTGTTAAATACCCTCTCTCTTTTTCTCATTCAAATCTTCTTGTTTGTTATAACTCAACATCTAATTGTTATCACGAAAGCGATGAAAACGATCTGTCGACGTTTAATAATATTAAACAGTAGAATAATTTATCCAGTACAAATAGAGACATTTCTGCGAATATTTCTAATTAAGACTATTTTCGTATTTACATTTAAATTCAATCAAAAAAAACATATTTGTATTTTAATCCAAATTAAATGAATTGCGACTTCTTATCGAAATTCAGTTATAAAAATATACGATTTAAACTTGACATGACGTTATACAAGATTTGCATATACACACATATACACATACATGAATATTGCAAGGATAAATTCATACGATTTTAATAGAAGACTCTTTCCCAATACTTTATTTGTTTCTATTTTCGAGTACTTCGAAGAAAAACACTTTTGGTTACTCTTTTGGATAACTTTGATATCTTAAAACTGTTTAAAGATATAAATCATAGATTGAAAGTAGTTGTATAATAAACAACTTTAAGTTAACAGACAAGTTTATGTCGATTTAATCGAATCATTTGATTTTACCAAGAACTTCAAGATATTTTCTTGCACTCTTGGCTCAGTTCCCACAGATTGTCTCTTGCGTGAAGATACGCATAGTCTTCTATCTTCTCACTTTCAGTCTTTTTAAAGTCCAGTTTTTGTTCTTCTTTGCGGTCAAAAAAAAAAGGAAACCAGTTAACAGGATTTTCAAAGATATGCATGATCAACCGCTAAGTGTTTTTTTATTCATAAAAGGATAAAATTATTCACTCAAGTTATATTATTAATATACTTAATATTTTCTTTTAATAATAATTAATTTGTATGTAAAGGATACCTTATAATTAGTGGTGCAAGAAAATTTAATTCAATTTCGGTTCGATAAATTTCGATATCTCGAATACTTTGAAGAACATTTGTATATTTTTAAATATTGTTAATATATAATAAAATTTCTTGTATCTGTGCTGATCTTATGCACTTTTATGCTTATCAAACAAGGAAACAAGTTTCATCATGGTTGATAAATCTAATGCAAATATAAAAAAATAAAAAAATAAAAAGGGACATCGGAATGATGAATCGCCATTATCGAGTACGAATGACTAACATCTTGCGCAATATTGCACGTCGCAAATACTTATCACCGATACATGAAACTAGTGCAGTTCTATGTATCTGTATGTGCATGTGTGTGTAAATACAATAAATAGTTAAAACCAATCGTTATAAATAGGGAATATGATTTCGAGAAACTTCCCTTTTTTCCTTTTTTCCTTTTTTCCTTTTTTGATGAATAACGTGTCTCTCTTATTTAATTGCAAAAATTCAGAGAATAAGAAGAAACAATATTATTACAACGCGCAAATTGGTTTCTATAAAAAAAGATTACAACGTGACGTTCACGTGAAAAGAAGAAAATAATTTTGTTAGTTAAAAAGATAATACGTTTGAGTTACCAACCATTGGGACTTATTTGACTTATTAAAAAATAATCGAGAAAATATGAAGGAAAGAAAAAAAAATATGTTTCATTTGCAATAAAAGATTAGCGAACATGCAATATATTTATATATGACTTGTAACTCGTTTGTATCCAATTAGATAGTGCCAATACTATATTGAGTGGGTGTTATAGCCTTAACCTTTGCCTTCAATTCGCAAGTTTCTAATTCTGAAACGTTTTCTCTTCAACTATCAGGGGAGAACGTTGTTATTCACACTTCTATCTGCATATATAAATCTTCTACATGTAAGATAACATTGACAGAGTGTATGAAAGAGAGAAAGAGAGAACCAGAATGATGCCAGAAGAGAAGTGCAAGCTCATCGATATACCGATATACCTGTTATAGGAATGTTCACTGTCATAAACAGTGTTATATGCTTTTCATTTATTGATTTTTTCAATTATATTTTATTTTATAGCCTGTTTAAGTCAATAGCGTGCGGTTTTGTTTATCTGTACGGGTCATCCATTCATTTTACTAATCGTGTCCAAGTAATCTCAACGCGTTCTTATCTTTTCCCGTTCTTCAAAAACCAATATCATATCGGATCTAAACTACCGATCATATTTCAATTTCATATTATAATTACTCGTCCCTACTTTCTTTTTTTATACTTGAATTATTTTGAATGAAATTGTATATGATTATTTGTATTTATTTATTATATAGTGAAAAGAAGATACGCGCGTACCGGCAACTTCTAAGAGCACTAGAAGAGGCCACAGAGCAGGCTTCTGTAATCGATGGGTTGAGAACGCGAAACTCGTGCCTTCCACCTTTTTCTTTTCTTCGTTACCAAGGTGCTTAGCTTACCGATGAGCCATGCTGAAGGTAGTGGGCGCTTCTTGGCTGCAAACGCGCATCTCCACGTACATTCTTGTTGCCGTCGCCCTTCTTGGCGTCGGCGCCATCATTCTTGGTGAATTTGGACAGTAAGTTATTATATTAAAATAAATTTATAAAACAAGTTTCTATTCAAAATTAATAATTATCAAAAAATTACATTCATTTTTTTTTTAAATTAAATTAAAAGTAAAAAAGAATATTGAAATACAAATTACTCGCTCAAATAAATAAAGCTTAGCAAAGACATTTTTGAAATAAATTGCATACTCAGAGATTGTGAATTGCAGAAAGAAACTTCGCGTGCATCACGATGAAGTTTGAAGATAATATATATCAAATATCGTGAGATACTTTTTAACTTTTGTTCTTTAATTATATTGTTTACTTACAGTGTTGAGAAAGATGGGACATACTCAGCAACTGTGTCGTGGAATCACAAGGGAGGATACCGTATTGACTTTTGGGGCCAAGGCAATGATCTTACTGCTATTTCATTAAATGCCGCACGTGCATATTACAAGACTGGAATTTTAGAAAATGGGTTTGTCTACATTTTGTTTCTCCTTGTACCATGGTATCCCAATAATTCTTAGTCTTATCTTACAATCTCTGAAATCAAAAGTTTGCTAAAAAATCTTTTAAAAAGGAATAGTAATTGATTATTAAAATAAGATCTCATTCTTAATTAAAATACACTTTCTTCCAATAAATGCTAAACGTATCGCATGACCGATTTGTTTATTTTTTAATTTGTTTTTTCTTTTGACAAAATATTTCATCAAATTCTGCATTCCGTTATTGACCCGATCATACGACCGGTTTAGTATTAAACATCAAACTTTTTCTTGGTATTGAGACATACAAAATTAATTGGACAATGTGATAAATATAAAAGTAATTATCTTATTTTCTATACCTTGAAAAAAATTATTATTAACACAGGTGGTCCATCATTGAAATTGAAACATCGGCAAAATATCCGGACACAGTACAAGCATATGCGGCAGGCCTTTTGGAAGGTAGTTTAACGTGGCAATTGATACACCATCATTGGTACAACACCATCAATGTAATATGCAATAAAAATCCAATCGAATGTAGCAAATCACGACGGTATCTTCAGGAAAATACAGCTGTGATACGCGAGCGTGCTGAGTTGTTGAAATCTAAGGACCCGTTTTGGCATATGGTGCGTATTATTAACATAAATAAAATAATTTTATCTCGTTTATTATCCCACGTAATTAATAATTTTACTCGATAATCTTGTTGTTCAAGGTACAATTGTTTTATGCACAATTGGATGGTTTGAAAGCTGGTTGGAGTTTTGCGGTACGTCGCAGTCGTCAAACGGCAGAAATACAAACGGAAGATTTTCTTTGGCTGGCAATGGTTTCTGATTTATCGTACGATGATTTAACATTGATCAATAAGACGAATATATCGATCGGCGAAAAAGGCATGATATTTCTTAAAGCACTTGCCAGAGAAAATAAGAAACCACTTATTGCAATTGGACATAACACTGCTGCACCGTAAGTATCAATTATTTACCATTGACGTAACTGTCGTTATTAAAAAGAACAAATTAATCAAACTCTGACGATTTTATGCAGCAAGGATTAAGTAAAAAAAATAAAATAAAATAAATCGTGGGTATATAATCAACGATTGAACAATTTTTTGTTTAATGAAGAATCAAAAAACTTGCCTAATTCGTGTTCTTTTTCAGATACGCCAAAATGTTGAGACTCTTGAAAAGATACAAATTCAATTATCATGTATTGCCAGCGTCAAAAAATGTAGCGCTAATACCAACTAAATCGATCATCATGTCCTCATATCCCGGAGCGCTTTCCTCGCATGATGAGTTTTATTTAATGACATCTGAAAATCGAGAGTTGATAGTTGCTGGTACGCCATTGTCAGTTCCAACTCGTGATCCTTGGGATTTTGCCAGTCTGAAAAATCAAGTACGGTTCTGTGAAAAAACTTGTAACATTATTATACATTATAAATTATAAGTATATAAAATATTTATTATTATTCCATCAGGTAATGTCATCCATCAGAGTAATGGCAGCAAATCGTTTAGCAACGGATGGCAAATCATGGTCTAAAATTTTAACTTCTCAAAATGGTGTGAATTTGATGCACCAATTGATTACATACGAACCAAGATCCGCCAACGTCTGGTTAATCGAACAATTAGGAAGTATCACTCACGTTGCCGATTTTACGCAAAATTTGACCGATAGCGGTGTTGTCCTTTGTACTGGTTTACCATATTCCCAAGAGATCAAGAAAGCTGCTGGTATTATCAACGAGGATGATCTATTAGCAAGGAGACGTTATTTGATGCAGTTGCAAGAGAACGTTACCATAATGGAACATGTCAGAAATTTTATGCGAGGTGGCTACAGCAGCCAAGAAGAGAAGTCGTCCACTCTAGAGAATATTAATGAAACTTATCATTTGAATTTATCTCAAATCCGAACTTATAGAGGTGACTTGGAGAAGCCGCCGTTACCAATGGGTGTCATCGACAGTAAAATAATAGCCGCCGATCTGAATGGATTGGAAATATTCGAGGCTACTTCTGGTCCGGTTCATTTCAACGAATTAACATCCCCCTTTCAATGGTCTAAATCATTTCCAAATATTTCACACATTATGGGTCAACCGGATGTCTTCAACTTCGACAGCGTTACACCTTTGTGGGTTTGGATTTAATGTAACGAGAATTATGACAAACTACTACGAGAACGTACAGAGAACAACTAATTGGGAAAACATAGCAATCTCTCTCGTTGCTTTTAGGTATTATTATAAGTCAAATCAATGTTCGTTCAAATTCGTTTAACGAATTATTCCTTCTTTGCTTTTATCTCTTTCTCTGATACTAATAAGTATCAGATTTTTAATATATATATGTATATTTTTTTTTAATCTAATTTGTTTTTTCTTTTTTCTCTCTTCTTCGTCAATCTATAGATATCTCTAAGTCTTCTGCAAACAAACTGCCACAATTCAACCTCGGTGACAAAAACACAAAATACTTAAGTACGTTCTTAAACAACAACGAATCTTCATTAAGTATAATTTATTAATGCTGAAAAAACCCTTCTCTTCTCTCCTTCATATTTATCGCTTTCGCAGCTGGCTCATATGTCAGCTAACTTTGGTAAACTTTTTAAACGAAATAAATGAATCAATAAAGGAATAATAATAAAAAAATAAAATAAGACAAATCGTTTGTTGACGTTTACAACTTTATCCTTTGATTAAATCTTTAAATGATTCCTATTATTATTTTCTACATGGATAACAACGTGGATTTGGATATGAAATAATTTTTTTATTACAGGGTTTTAATAGATTTATGAAACTGGCTTTTCTGCGATCAAAGAAATCATTTCTTCCTTTCAAACAAATTAATTAGAAAAACATTAAAAAGAACAATACAAATTTTATTTGCATTGATCGCAGAACAACGTTGTCCATTTCAATATAATATTGTGAACAATCTTCATTTATTTATTGAATTTTATAATTGAGATACACGTTCCAAAGTGTTATCTCTTCATTTCTTTTTATATTTTTTCTTTTCTTTTTTCTTTTTTTTTTTTTTGTTTCAATTTATTTTCCTTCTTTTTTCTTTTTTTTCTTTTCTTTTTTTAAACATTTCTTTTTCTTCGACATTCTGTCCGCTACGCAGTCGGCTGAAAACAACAATGCTGTAGAAGAGTATAGAGACTACTTCTAGAATTTTTGCGGACGATCCGTACAAAGATAAAGTGCAATCATTTTCAAAGACTTTTTCTTTTTAATTTTCATATTACAAATCTACGAATTTATTATAGATAAAAGAAAAAGAAGAAGTAGAACGATTTTTATGTTTTACAAAACTGAATAAAAACGTGTTTCAAAAAACGTTATGACTTGTAATTATAACGATAATAAAAAAACAAATGATCATTTCTAATTGGCACTTTAAATTCGTACAAGAATCGAACCGGATGGATAAAAATATTAGGATGACAAAGAGGCACCGTGTTACCGGTTTCTTCGAGCAAAGCGATCCCCCTCGAGCGAATCGTGCATCCGCTATCACCAAGTGTAAATACATTATTAGCGAAATAAGGAAATAGGAAAATGTAAGGGGTCCTTGCGTAACGTAAGATACATTAACGTATCGATATAACACACAGAGCCAGCTAAGCATTCTACGAACGATAGGAATTTTCGATACAATTGAGTTCTTACCCTAATCTGATATTAAAGTATGGAATAAATTAATCAATAAAAATACAATGTAACTTGTTTTTAACGAACTACATATTCTAATCTCGTTATGTTTTTTATATCACATTCATTCGAAATGTAAAACTTTGATAAATTAAAAGATAGTATACTTAAGCTATCTTCTTTAGATGAGAAGTGTAAATCAGATCTAATCATTAAATGTGAATGATGATAAATAAATTACAAGTGACCCATTCGTATCGATAAATTCCAAACGATCGATTCGGTTAATACAATTTACCCGTGACTCATTATCTATAACGATTAATATTGTTTCTCGGTCCAGCCACGCGCCCATGGCACCGAGGACCACGGAATTCCCAGATTTTATTTCTGCCCAAAAGTATATATGTATATATACATACACACACACACACACATATATATATATATATTCTTTTCATAATCGCATCATCATCATCGTCTGATCTCTTCCTTTCTTCGGGTGATGCGCAACATGAAAATACAATAGATATTATGATATTACATCTAAATTATTCTCACGTTGCTACTGCGTTTTTCATTATTTGTATAATTATCTCTCTGTTGTGTAATATCTATATTTACAAATCTGTTTCTTTTTTTCTCTATCGTAAAAAGAATTTGTTGGCTAATAAAATTGGGAAGATGATGGGTACCTCGAGACCAAGACGGTAGGTCCAAACAATCGCCTGCCTTGAGGCAAGGGACCGGTAAGGTCCAACAGCGGTGAGAGCTGTGATTGGTTGAAACAATATATGGCTATCGCCCGCCATTCTGGGATGAAACGAAACGAATTGTTTTTTTTTTTTTCATTTTTATACCCTTACTCGTTCAAAAAAAAATTCAAGAGATATATAAAAATATTTCAAACATATTCAGATACATACGTATAAATTTCGAGCTCATTTACATATAATTGTACGTGAAATTAAAATGATGAAAAATAAGAAAAGAAATAATAATAATAAAATATTAATTAACAAATAACATAACGTATCTATCCCAGAAAAGCAGATTATGCCCAATTTTGTAGAGCTTTCCACAGAACGTCTTTATTCGGAACAGTCTATAATATGACACTCAATAAATAACAGAACTTCTACATGTCCAAAAATTCTGCCATCAGACTGTCCTGCCGAATCTAAAAACAAAACAAAAAAGAAAGAAAGAAAGAAAAGAGAGAATAAACTGATTTGCCGAATACGAGAAATAAACTGTTCGCAAATCAAATGAGGAGAGTATTCCCGCGCGTATCTGCTAGATACCACGTGACTCTCAGGCGGCAATTTTTGAATTGGGAAGATGAAAGATGGAAGAAACATAAAGGGGAGAAAGAGGAAAGAGGAAATGAAATTGAAAAAAAAAAAACAAAGTTAAAAGGAGTCCGATAATTCGGCAAAACAATCCCTGAAAAATAAAGTATATAATAACGATGCGTAGATTTAGGTACGTACACGTGTTGTATACACGGCGCGGATATGCACTTTCAAGAATTCGTTTTAGTCGGAGTATACTATAGCTGAGAAACTCAAAATTGAAAAAGAGAGACAAACAGGGTGCCTACTGACGATTAACTTAACACAACAACGAGATATAAAGAATGTATATTAATAATAATAATTTAAAAAAAAAAGAAAAGAAAAAAAAACTAATTCCATTATAACACGCTCAAATATATTTAGATACATAATTCTTTCTTAAATTTCAAGATATATATCAAATTTTCTATTTGAAATTTCACTTAAACATTCAAAATGATTTTTCTCTTGTTCTATTTTTTATTTTATTTTATTGTATTTTAATTGAATATTTCTCTATCTCTCTCTTTCATTTATACATGAATTTCGGCAGCAGCTCCTCTTGCACAGTCTTCGCCACGCTTTTGCGATACGTAAACCGTGTCAACTTCGTTTTCTGAAAGCAGCAAATGTATAAAAAATTCGAAATTCGACGGAGGAAATGAGAGAAATTTTCCTTTTAAAAAATCATTTTTATGTAGGCGCACATATGTACGTATATGCAAATATTTTTATTATGGGCACGTTTGTCCTTTCTTTCTTTTCTTTTGACTTTTTTTTTCTTTTTAAAGCAAAATGAAAATTTTGTCTATTCTCATTCTCTTTCTCTCTCTTTCTTTTTTTCTTGTTTTGGCTAAAATATCATAGGACACATAACTAGGAAGAAAATACGTTAACGACTATAATCACTATGTTACTAAAAACATAGTGTGTTTAAGTGTGTGTGTGTGTCTGTATGTATGTATGTATGTATGTATGTATGTATGTATGTATGTATGTATGTATGTATGTATGTATGTATGTATGTATGTATGTATGTATGTATGTA